GTTTCTTAGGCGAAGGAAGTGAGATCGAAACTCACCGCGGTCGAGCCAATAATCTTTTGTTAAAGAAATCATCATAATGGTTCTATTGAATCGTATATAGAGTGGCAATATCTGAGAGTTATTGAAATCGACTCAACTTTTTTGTGGAACATCAAGGGGTAATAGCGCAGTGGTAGCGCGTCTGCTTTGCATGTAGAAGGGCCTGGGTTCAATCCCCAGTTACTCCATTAGTTTTGTTCCTATCTACTCCAAATTGAAATATAGCGACTCAATACTATCTGACGATTGAATATGCAGACAACTGTTTATTTACTACTAGACAACATCGATTACTCGATTACACTTTGCTCAACTTGCACCATCATCTAACAATACAATTTCTGCTGCTTTCTATCTTAAAATGTTATCACAATTACATAAAATATATGGAAAAGTAAAAATATCAAAAGCGTCGTGGCGCAGCGGCTAGCGTGTTGGGCTCATAACTCAAAGGTCGGTAGATCGAAACTACCCGACGCTAAGTAACTTTTTTACTTTTTCAAATCAAGATTGGTTTGTTACATTGAATTCTTGTCAGTGAGTTCTGTTTTTGTTCTGCTTTTTTTGGCTGCATTATTGATAACTTATGCACTTGTCTGAATCATATTACGTGATAATCTCACAAACACACTATAACAAAATAGCAATGGAAAAGATACTTTGACCCCAGAGTGACTCGAACACCCAGCCTTTCGCTCTGGAGGCGAACGCGCTACCATTGCGCCATGGAGTCTGTTGTTTTTAGCGTTTCTTCAAATATATGCTTATATATTCTCATTATTCACAATCATTCATGTCTCTCATTCATTCATTACTTTAGAATCCTCCAGCAGCTATTAAAAATCTAAAATGATTAAATGCAGTGCTTAATAAACAAAACAAAAAAGGAATTAGTCGCGCTGAGCGGCGGTGAAGTTAGACATGTTTGCCGTGGCACTTGAAAGGAACTTCTCCCACTGGGCCACCACCTGAGCCTGCAACTCGACCATGGACTCCAGACTGTCGTCAATTGCCTTGCAGAAATCCTCAATCTTGAGGTTATCAAATCGCTCCAGCTCGGATTTGAGACGTCCAGTAATCAGTTCAAACTGGTCCTCTTTCTTTGAACAGTCAATCTCCAAAATACCACACTCAGATCTCAGGCGGCCAATTCGAGAAATGTCATTGGAAGATGCATAGTTTCCAGTCTGCTGTGCCTGGCGAGCTGCCTTCTCATGCTGGGCACGCTTACGGCCAAAGTCATTGAGCGCAATCTCCCATGACTGCCACGCCTTGACTCTAGCCTGGAACCCAAGTTTGATTGAGCCCATTGTGCGGAGATGCTCATCGGCAGTTTGGAGCAAAGAAACCGTGTCATTGTCCGCCTGCTTGTCGTGAAGAGCCTTGAGGATAATTTGCAGCTCACCAAGAGCCGAGATACTGGCAGCAAGGGGCAAGTGGGGCTCAGCTTTGGCCAGAGTTTGGAGAGATTCGCCAAATTCTTGATGAGCGCCGGCGAGTTCGCGACGATGCACCACAATACCCTCTACAGCCTTCAAGAACAAGCGCAATTGGGTCTCCAACTGGTCAACACGCAGTCTACGATTTTCAAACCAAGAGTCAAACTCAACAAAAGTGGGAACAAAGGTGCTCGAGAGCGCACCGGCAAAGAATGAAAACAAGCCACCATCACTAGTCATTTGCGCTCCAACCTGCTTGTGTGCCTTGGCCACAGCCTCATCCACCACACGCTTGCGCTCAGCACTCTCTGCACCAAATGAATCAGACTCCAAAAATATTTGGAAATCAACGTGATCTCTGAACAATGGATGGCGTGCAACCGATGACAAAAATCTAGCCAAGGCTGCTCTTCTGGACTCAATAAACTCATCTTCGAATCTGCCCAGCGACTGCTTTTCAGGCAACGGAGGAACAATTGCACCAGGATGCGTGGCTGACAACTGATTGAACAGCCAGACAAAGTCAGTATAACGGCGTCTAACGATGACATCTGGGCTCTTGAATTGAGGCAGTGTCGTTCTAGTATGGACTCTGTACACAACATATGATGTCAGCGGATTATCTCCAATTTTATGTGGATTACTAACCTCAATAATCAAATATGGCTGTGATTGCTGAACTGG